GTGGAGACCGGTCGGACAAATCAGTTGCAAGCCGTACTTGTGTGGAACTGCATCGACAGCTAGATCGATTGAAACTTTTGGCGTTGGGTTGGGCCTTGAAGGGAAAAGAATCGTTTGTTCTCGAGCGGTGTTGTTTGCAGAAGAGCGAGGAGGATTGGTGAGAGAGTGTGAAAGAGAGGAATTCAGTCGAGGAAGGCAGAGGGCAAGAGTCGATGGGATCGGTAGGAGCGGAGTTGCAACTGCAGCAACGACAGGGCAGGAGCAGAGAGACGAAACAAATAAACAAGGCACGACGAATAGGCGAGAAGATGGGCAGAAGGGCAGCAATATGAAGGATAAAAAGGCGGTGGTGTCAAGCAGAGTCACGCATTCCGGGTTGCAAATGAGAAGAAGGGCCCTGGGCGGCTGACGAAGGGGTCCTGATTCTGAAGGAGGGAAGATGGGCAGGGACGGGAGGGTAGCCGGGGGTGCCCATAGCACGCCCGGAGATATACGAGAGAGGACGGACGCGGATGCTGGAGGCGGAGAGGCGGGAGATGGAAGGCAGATAGGGAGTTTGTAAAGCAATGCACTGGTTAGGAACCTAGGCAAGTACCTAGGGAGACGCATGATACATGAAAACGTGACGAGCATAAAGTACATTGGGGAGGTATTCTCTGTCAATCACAGTGGGGATGTATACATCCAAGCCATGAGGAAAGGGGGTGGGGGGGGAAGGTTACTAAGGCGCGGTTGGCACCCAAGACACTTTAGCCTACTGAGCCCAGTATGGGGAGTATCTAATCGGTTAGGGGACTTGGGGCACGCCCAGAACCACCGAGAACTTGGGCACAGGGCTCAGGAGTAAGCTGTATTCGTAAGTTGCCTTACTGCGCATGGTAATGAAGCAGAGGAGGGGGGCGGGCGCCATCACTTTAGGCCATCGGCAAACCGCTGCTGCACGCTGCACGCCGCATATTACACATGGCTCTTTGTCTGCCTGTAACGGACCGCTTCTTTCTGTTTCCTTTCCCCTGGCTTGTATTAGCAATCTACTTGACGTCCGCAGGTTGTTTGTTGTGTCGGGGACGAGTGGATGTTGGGAGGGGGATGTCCTTCTGGCAAGCGACCCTTAATAAAAGATGAGAGGCGCTGAAGATGAGATTGATTGAGTTGGACTCGATACCTTATGCAGCAGCAGGAAAACAGCATAATGGGCACCCAAATTTGTCGAGGCACCCAGGTCGTCTTTACCCGAGCCTTAGCAAGCTTGCCTAGCTTACTACTTGACTGGCACATTGGTTGGTATCCGTACTGCAGAGTCAAGACTCAGACCCCTCAGAGCGGCGCCCGCTACGGCGAACCATTTGGTCACGATCAACAGAAAGCGCTGCTGCAGGGGACTGGGATTGTCAGATGCTTGTGTGCTGGTCATGCACCATACCTTCCTTACCTTGCCATGAATCTAGGTAGTCGTCTCCCAGCACCGCACAGTGAGGTAAGTACAGAGTCTGTCTCGTCTCTGGTCGGTCGTCAGCACAATCTCTGTTTCTGTACATCTCTCGTGGCACAGCATAAGAAACATATTCCACGCAGACACTGCCTCGAGGATGCAGGACTGGACGGTACCTATATTGCTGCAATGCTCCAAGTGGATGCGGCGGCAACCGGCCCAGCCTCCACAACTCATAGTCCTCCACTCTCCATGTCCTTTTTTCCCCTGCGAATAGAGGGCCGGCGCGGCGATGCCGCCAGACCCTGATTGATATCCGCGTGCTGCGCGCACGCGGATGCGGGGTGCAAGCAGCCTTCCATTTGCAAGTTGCGTCTCCTCTTCCCCCCCCTGTATTCCACTTTACAAGCAGTTGCCAGTTGGCGCAATTTGCTTCACTCCCGCCAACTTGCTCCGCAATGTACCTCCTGATCTCCAGGGTGACCCGTGGCGACCAACTTGCGATGACTTTTCCGTATCCGTTCTGTCCGAGTGTTATGCACAGCTCTATGTTTGGAGGCTTTCAGGCTTCCAAAATTCGAATCACAAACCACGCCAGAGGTTCAAGGCCTCTCGGTGATTGTGAGATTGCTACCGATTACCTTAGCGCTTAGAAGTCGAGCCAGATGCGGTACGTTGGTACCTGAATCAAATCAAATAAGGTAAGGCAGGTACAACATCTGGGGTGCCTCCCCTCGAGGTAAAGTGCATGCATGCACGTCGTTAGTGTGAAGAGTAGGTTTACGTAAATATACACCTAAGCAGCTTAGACAGGCCGCCATTGGTTCCTACTGTGAAGTGCACCTTACCCAAAGATCCAACGCCCTACGGATACACAGGTACATTAGCCTTTCCTTTCCATGTACTATAGCCGACGGGACGCCTCGAAACCAAGATTCAGATATGCCTCTCCTTCTCAGTGTCAATGACACCTCAATGGGAGCGAAGCACGCCCGGTCTCTCCTCATCCTGCATGAATCTTTCTGCCTTGGCGAGCGTCCGGACCGAGCTGGGAACTCCTGTGCAGAGCCCAGGTACCTGCAGGAGAAGGCAAGGAGTATAGGTGAGAAATCACTTCACTGATGCTGTCTGTAAGAGCATTGCTCTTTTCCACCTCTCTGAGCTACGAGCTGTCAATATACTCGATGACAACCCGATAGAGGAGTCGACTCTGGATCGCCTGAGATGTCGATGTGATCTAGCGTTGGGTGCAACCCTATCTGAGTTTCCAAGGACACCACTGCCTCTGTCATGCCGCCTCCTACTCAGAATCCCCACCCTCACCAATATTATACAGCACTATAGTATGCACTCTAGTGTGCGGATATTAATGATCTCATCACAGCTAGAGCCGCGTTTCTCTGTTCCACAAAGTCCCATCCGAACTATGCCACGTTTGCGCAGCAACTACTTCGCTTACCAGCTGCTACAAAACCCGTCCTCGCCGAGATACGTTTCTAGTGGCTTACTTTGCTCCAGGAGAGCTCCTGGATCGTTTAACCGTCAACTTGGAACACTCAGACCATAAATCTATATACATAATGGCTCCTTTTCTGGCACACCAAATGCATCACTGCCATTCAATTCAAACCTCCTTGGCCAGCCTTACCCTCACCTAGGTACGCACGGTCTTTCCAGCTCCAACATCATAGTGTACACCATGTTGACGGCTAGAACGCCAAACACCAAACGCCAATATCCTCGGCCCACCCCCGGCTTCTCTGCATTGCATCGCTTGGTATCTTAAATCACCTAACCTCATTGAACAAAGCCTGCATTATGCACCTCGTTTTCATTGTCTTCAATGCTCGTCCGTCCGTCATACGAAGACGACTCCATGCCAAGTTTCCCTACCTCGTTTCTAGGCCCCCTATACCGATAGGCATTCAACAGACTGAGCCGACTCGAAGCAACGCACATTGTAACGGCCGTTTGCAGTATGTGAGCGGGCACATGGGGTTATTGAAGCCTCAAACCCTTCGTGCCATCGGATGATTTGTATCGCTTGGCCCGACTGATACATACCTACACAACAACCCCTGTGAACAACAAAGCTCGTCAGGAGCCTGAGAAGCGTACCGGTCTCATCCATGTCTGCGCCTCAACAGTCCCCTCCGTCCAAACCGAGAATTGGGAGTTTTGATCGCACACGAGTCTGCACACCTCTAAACATTTCTGTCAATGCTTTGCGTGTCGTGTTTTGGCACATCCGCTCGCTTGTCGGCACTGCAACCCGTCTAAAGGTGATCTGACACCTGGCCCAGCCGTGTCTGAATTGTCTCATCCAGTCTTCTTGCCGTCGGATGCCTTTTACTCCTCGACAGGTTCGCCGCTCCTACCCAGGCCCTGCTAGGAGGAGCTGACTCTAGGCCCACGCAATGCCAGTAGCTACGATACTGCCAGTGTGTCGTGACAAGTTTCTCCTATTGTAGGATTGCTCTTGTTTTGGTTACGAATTTGTGGAAACCCGCGAGGGGCGAAGCTTGCTTTGCGTTACGTTACTGGGAGTTCAACCCGCAGTCATCCCAACACAAGGCGAGGAATCTGAGCCCCAGTGTGGCGATTCCCGAGCATTCCAGACGTGAGGCGGCCTTGCATCTCCCGATGTAACTCGACCGGATCGGGCCCGCATCTCGGAGACCAATGCCGGTGTACGGGACCTAGGTATGATCTTACCTCTCGCCACGGTTGTGGTCCGCGCCACCCTTACCTCTCGAAATCCCAACTCAGAAGCGAGCGGTGAAGTCTCGTTTGCGGTATGCCTCACGCTCTGAGCAGCTAAACTTGCAAGTCTTTACAGATGACAAGATGCACATGAAGGCAGAACACATACGATTTACTGTGTCTCGATGTCGAAGTATACGTATCCCAGCCTCCCGTTGTACTATGTTTCCCCAATTGTAAAAAAGATCGCCATGCTGTTGATATTTTGTCATCTTTCGTGGTGGTGGCTATCGAGGTACTGAAGCCTCTGACCTTCGCTCTGCTTAATTGTCTCCGTACATAGACCTCCAAGTCTTTACTTGCCGTATTCATTCCAATTAACGCGCGAGAAAATAATCTGCTTCCAGTTGAAAGCCGAGCGTGGCATCTATAGAGAAAGAACACCAAAGCCGGGATTTAAGCCCTACATCCATCATCAACGGTAGCCCTCTGCCTGTTACGGAGGCTTCCTGCTGAGCCTCGGCCCGGGTTTGTTTATCAAAATGATGGACATGCAGCTTACGTCTCACGCAATGCGGCTCGACTCAGCCACTCGAGATCACCTTCCAGAATTCCTCGTCATGCTTTGCGATATCACCAGATGCCACTTACATTAGAGAGCATCAAAGAGAAGATCATCCTCACTGAGCGGTGGTATAATGATGCAAAATCTCACGTGTTTTATCAGCAGCCAACTCAATTTTAAATTATGTATGGGAAACAATACAACACAGGACGAAGCAAGAAGGAATCAGACTTGGCAGTGCACGACGTTGATGTCTTCTGAGTGGGTTTACGGAAAATTCCAACATCCATCGCTTGGTAATCAAGTAGAAGAGCCTTGCGGCTCTCCCGTAGCCTCATCTTCGACAATACTCTTGGTTGTGTCAATAGCCTCGACCGTTTCGCGGGAAGACTCAGAGGCACCTTGGGTTTCAGAGGTTTCCGAGACCTCAGAAGCCGCAGAGGTCTCTCCCTTCGATGAAGTGGCACCCTCGTCATCAAGCTCGTCAGGGGTCATGTCAAGCCTAGGAGTCGGGATAAGCTCAAAGATCTCGTGAGCTGCAGTACTATCATCATCCGAATCAAGTTCAACCTTGGGGACCTCGACAGCCTCAAAGGTCTCGAGAGCTCTAAGGCCATCACCCCCAGAATCGTCATCGACAACGTTGCGCTTTCGTAGCGTGTTCTGTAGGCTCTTGAACGCATCTGCCGTGCGGTCTCTGAGTGTGTCCAGACGCTTGCACTTGTCACACACTCCAGCCTTCCGGACGCAGTTCATCGAGTGTACACGGCGCTCGATGCATGTGTGACTAGTAGCACTTTCCGTGTACTTGAGGAGGTCCCTCTGCAATTTGCAGACTGTAACCTTTTTGCCGAGTTCACTGTGCTTGCACTCGTATACGGTGGCACGGTAGAAACACATGGTTGCTAGATAAAAGAGTAGTGGAAACGGAAAAGTCGAGCGGGATTGGACTTACTGGTGTTTTGTGGTTGAAGTAGAGATCTGACATGGCAACTTCGACCCGAACCTCGACACGCTTATATGCTCGACGTCAGACCGTGTGGCATAGATGACCTGCCTAGGTCGAACATGAATCGAAACCCAAAGTACTGCAGTTGTTTCTAGACATGTAGGTGTTTCGCGGGCCTCTGACTGATGTTTTCTACCAAAGTTAACAAAGGGGATCGAGATCTTGTGTGGTTATCAGGTGGGATGTCTGAACAAAGGATGCGAGACAACAGCACTGCCTAACATAACATCGTCACGACCAAAGGATCAACTAGCATTGTTTAGAAGACTAGAGGTTTATTATGTGGACTTCTTGAAAGATAGTAATTCACTTTCGAGAACCTCTATAAAGGTTGATGCCCATGCTGTGCCTTCGGGCGCCTGGACATTATCCACCTTTGGCACTTGGTACCCTATTCTCCTCAGAGTCTTCATCAAACTCGACTCGGCGTTGGACGATATCACAACTCCTCGGGTTGCCAAAAGACACTCAATATCCGTAGTGGAGTCGCCAAAATACACCAGCGCCCCAACATCCTCTACTCCTCGCCGAGCCGCCAATGTTCGAAGGGCTCGCAGCTTATCCTCGCACGTCATCAAAGATGCCTGCCTTGTTGATGAGCCTGCTACTTCCGGCCCTGAGATGCTTCCGTTCAGCTCGATCTCATTAGCGACAACGTCGACGCTATAGTCTGAGAGGACACCCTTGATGAATGATCTAGACCAGTTGACGGAGACTACTGCGACGGACCAGCCCTTCTCTCTGGCAGCATTCATGAGCTCCGCAAAACCATCCCTTAACTTGACTCTCCCTTCCTTTCGACAAGTTTCACCGGCAAGTGTAAGATATTCCAGGCCGATGTCCCGGAAGATGCCTGAGCTCTCGACTCTCTGGACTGATAGCATTTCAACCTCCTTCAGACCCCGCAAGAAGGCGAGCTCGTCTTTGAGCGAGGATCTGTCATCTGCGATTGGAAGATACGTGGACACATGGTTGGCATGGTCTTTGCTGTAATCTAGCAGGATCTGCTGCCATTTTGAAGAGAGATCAACCCCGCGCTGCTGCTGGAATTGGAGGCCGATTTCTGCCAATGTACCAATCGTATCCTTTGTCGTAATGGTACCATCAAAGTCCAACACGAGAATGGGAGTTAAAGGGGGCATTTCCGCAACACGTGATATAGCGCGGTCTTGACGTTGTGTTTGGGAAGATTGGCTTAGTTGGATCCAAGCCGATGAAGTCGAGTGATGATGACTGTGCACTTCCCCACTTGCCCACTTTGATCACAAGTGGTGTTGGACTAGGAAAGAAAGACAGCCATGCTCATGTCAATAGTCGGGACAGTGGACACTCTGTTGCTACCACCATCGGATGTGGACTTCATCGAGTGCATCCCAGGCAGAGTGTATATCGCTTTCTCTGTTTTGCTCTATCGTTCTGTGATGGGAGGGACAGCTGCAAACCCTTCGACACGTGTGTCGTCACCTAGTGTCCCAGGGGGTATCAAAAAGTCCCTAACTGTAAGAGCCACCTCCATCCAAGACTTTCCATGCGAAAAAAAAATTCCCTTCCAAACGCCTTGCGATACCCTGCGGTTCCTGTGCCCGATCTGTGTATAATTGCGAATGGTCACTAGACAACATCCTCCATAACCACTTCGTCATCGTCGTCCTCTGCGGCGGCTTCCTCCGGTGCCGTCTCATTAGTGGCGCCGGACGCCATGCTCTTCAAGTGCTCCTGAAGCGACCACTCGTTGGCGTGAATGCCGGACCTGTTAAGTACCGCTATCTTTTCCAATGTCTGGCGTAAGAAAGCCTCGGGCTGGTCAAATCTAGCCTTGAGGATCGACATCTTCCAGTACTCGTACTTCCTGAAAGCCTCCATGAGACCATCCAACAGTTGTTCCTCCGACATGCGGGCGGATCTGTTTTCGGATTTCTTCGGCTTGGTGGCCTTGGTAGGCGCAGACGTTTTCTATTCTCCATTAGTACTGGATCTACCAGTTCCCACTGAGTGCTACTCACAATGAAGGAGCCAAACTTCTCAACCGCAGCTGCAGAGCCATGGTGGATAATGCTGTTGGCTGCGCGCTGTTCCATGATCTGCAGGGTATGCTTGGGCCGCTGAGCCTCGACTTGCTTCCGTTGAAGAATTGCCTGGCTCTCCGCGTTATCGACTGGCTTGCACGCCAGCTCGTACTGGATCCTAGCGGCAATCTTTGTCTTCTCTGCGTTGAATTAGCCGCTGATCTGCGCCACTTTGAGAGCATCAAACTGACTTGGGATCGCTTTGCGGTAGTAGGGTTGCCATTTGCGACCCTTCTCGAATGGTTTCTTCTCTACCTTCTCCGTCTTGGGTCTCAGGAATCGAGCCGGAATGCCAGCGTTTGCAGCATCTGTTCGCGCCTTGGATTTGGCCTTGAAGCCAGGTAGGTCCTCCTCGGTGAAAACGAACGTGCTGCGCGCGATCTCCTTGCCCATCTCTAAGTCGTATTCTTTCGGCATCAGCTGGTGCTCGGCGCGGTCGGAATTGAGTAACATTTTGAAACGGTGCTGCGCAAAAAAAGTTAGCTCAACCGTCGATCCAGACTTGTCGCGTCGCGTATATCACAGTACCTCAACGCTGCCATCTGGACGGACCACATCCCACTGTCGCATGGTGCCAATCTCGATTTCTGCGTCATCCGGCAAGCTATCCCATGCTTCCCACAGGTCCTTCGGAACGCGTGCTAGATATGCCTGGCCGAAGGAGCCTTGATCACCGAACTGGTCGAAGAACTCCAGATCGCCAGCATCTTCGTATAGGTCATCGTCGTCGACAGGAGCGGCAGGTATGGCTTCGGGATCGGGCTTGATATATGGCTCCGGCTTGATGTATGTTGAGTCCGCCATATTGAATATTCGGGATTACCTCAAATGCTCCGTTGCTATCCAAGGTCGCGAAGTCGAGGAAGAGTTGGTGTTTTTTGCAATGACGGCAGAGGGATCAGGATAGTCCACATCTATCTTAGCTCCGTCACAGCAAGCAACAGAGAAGCTACGAGTGGCAGTCAAGATCCACTCAATGCAGTAGCCCTGGAGGTACCTTTGTGCCCCGAAGTAGACTAGCTCAGTCATCATGTGACATGGGTGAATCGGAGCCAACCTCGACTTTTGGAGGTTCAAGTACCTACCATGCCACTCGACTATTTCTCGAATCCAAATCCTAACACCATAATACTTTGACATCTGCCTTGGTTCGTAATATGAGCAAGTCAAATGTCCGAGCCCGGAGGTCTCAATCATTGATTATTAGAAGCAAACCTATTTGCGCAATGAGCCCGGCCATCATTTATCCTTCGAGGTACCCCAGTGACAGTCACGGTCTAGGTACCTTAGCTCTATGACAAGGGCCCGTCCAGGTCAGCTTTGGGAGCCACTTAAAAGCCGCATGCCCCACTACGGATCTGGCACTTCAGTGTTCGTGACCTCTTTAAAAGGACCCATCCACCTGCAACTTCCCGCCATCACTTACATACTCCAGCAACAACGAATATCTGATTTTTGAGTATAGTACTTCTTATCGGCTCGGCCTGTTACCACAGAGCCTCGAGGGGTCCCCTCTAGCAAGACAGAAACACTCTGGTACAATAACCTACTATTCGAATTACCTAAATACACACTACATCCATTATTTGAACGATGAGCCTGCGATTCGCCAGTTCCCCATCAACGACCTTACGACCGAGCGCTCTCATCACGGCGGCAACGACCATCAGCTAGGCCCTCTTCAAGAATTCACCTACATCACTCACCATGGCGCCGACTAAGTCACTTGCCGAACTGTGCATTGCTATGTGCCAGAGACACATCACAGAACTCAGCAGTGTCGGCAATGGCGACGCCCTCCAATACCACGATGTTCGCGAAATCCTCCTCAGAGTCACGAACCCGGCTCAGCTCCGAGAGATCGAGCTCAACTCCCCTTTCATACAGGGCGAAACCTCCGAGCTTTGGCTGCGCCTTATCAAGAAGGAATTTCCATCCGAAAGCCACGAAAAGAATTACGCGCCTAAGAATCCGTCAAAGTGGTACAAGATATACGAGAGATATGCGGAGGAACGCCGCGAGGCTCAGCAACAGGCTGAGGCCGAGCTTCTCGCCAGGGTCCAGGGGCTCCAGCAGAAGAAGGACAACAACGTCAGCAGAATCGTAGACCCCAAGTTCGCTAGGTTTTTGCCCAAGCCACCCAAGACCGGTCGCACCTTTTCAACGCAGCCTCGAGGAAAGAGGGAGCTCCCGAGTTCCCTGAGCTGGGCCGCCGGAAGCAGAATGAAGATGACGACGGGCGCCAGCGTCATGAAGAAAGCCCGTAGAGAGGCTAAAGAGATTGTCGGCATAAGAAGCACCATGGCTGTACCAACTGGCATGATCAGGGCCCCTCGATTGAAACAGGCCCCGCCCTCGATGGCTGCTGAGCACCGAATCTCAAGCCAACCAGTCTTTCGGCCAACATCTACCAGCAGTCGCCCGCCCACACATTCCACATATGTCACTCCCCAGTCCAAAGCCACATACGTTTCCGATTCATCAGACGGCGAAGACGGTGATTTGTTCAGCGATGAGGGAACGCCGAAGAAGAACAAGAACATAGTATCTTCCTCTCGCCACAGTCGGGATACGGCAGCTTCCTCCATGCCTACAAACCCTTCCCAATCCTCAGCATACAAGGATCGCAATTCTTCCACATCTGCAAGATCTACCTCTAGTTCGCAAACATCGGGCTTGCGACGTGGGGGTGGTATTCTCGGAAACGCTGCTCGGCCCAAAAGCAATATCAGAGTTGAGCGTCCACCAACCAGACCCGAGCCATCATCCTCTGCGAGTATGGATTATTCCCGCACGCACAAAGTACTTGCTCAGAACAGCGGCCCGCAATCTCCTCCTTTGCCAGCGTCGTTGGACGAAGCGCAACAAGCTCGTCCAATTCTGGGTAATCAGGAGCTGCCCAGAAAGAGAAAGGCTGTCGACATTTTCATGCCGAAAAAGAAGACTAGACGCTGAAGGACAGTATAATCAGGTATGGCTAAAATGAGGAATCACGAGTATTGTAAAATGAAAGGTCGTCGGGCGTTGGTATAGGGACAGGTCACATAGCATTTGAATTCAGGCGTTGGGTAGGTTATGGTATATACCCTCAGGCTTCGCATGGTCGTTCTGCCCATCATGGCAGGGTGAAATTGAACTCGTTTGAAGATGCTTGACCGTGCATTGGCTTTCAACTCAGCACCATTTGTTTGATCCCATGCTGTGTTCATGTGACTAACTTCATTCTCCATGTGCGGATTATCGCAGGCTGCCTTTACACGCTAGATTTTGGTTCCCTTGGTGCCAAATCCCAATCCAGGAGTTAGCTTTTGAGAGTTAAGCCTGGCATTCTAGCCTGCCTTGAGAACCCCCACCCTTTGGACAGGCAATATTCTATACTTCCATGTCGCAAATGGACGTCGCTACTGCATATCATCCCCTATCGGCTCTGTAGCCGATGAATGCTCCGTCTCAAGAACGCTGAAAACACCTGAGCTGCGTATTGTTTACTGGCCTGTCTTCTCATGCTCAAAGCCATTGCCAGAGACAGATCTAGTTTCCACCTCGAAGGGCGAGAACCAAATGCAATGTAGCGCCAGCCTCGAGGCCATATTCAGATGCGGACTTGTCGTCGACCCTGTTCAAGCATCTTGTCAGCGGAATGGTCTCCGTAGGAAATTCTCCCAAGCTCCCCCAGCCCCATCACACTGGCGGAAGCATGATTTCACGCTCCAAGAGGATTACACCTTACATTTGCTTTCCACCGTAGATGAGTCTTTGCTGCACGGGCGGGATGCCTTCCTTCTCCTCAACCTTCTCCTTGATCTGAGAGACCTATTGCAAGGTTGGTCAGCGTTCTATTCTCCACCTCTCTGTCCCCGTCCGTTGTATTCGGTGGGCAATGTGTCGGATGGGTACGCGCCTTGTATTCGTTCTCGATGTCCAGCTCAATCTCCTTGCCGGTAAGCGTTCGCACCCTAGTTGGCGTAAGCAGTTTATTCGAATGGGTACAGTCGGGTCACCGCCTCCAGAGGTCCGGAGGACAGAGATGCGCATACTTGATTAACATTGTGGCGTGTGTGAAATGGCGACAACAA